CGGCCGTCCACAGCCAATCGAGCGGCATAAGCGAGTGACGGCGCGATGAGCGAAAGCGTGTGTGCCGGATAGTTAGCCTCCCCAGGGTAGTTAGGTAGGCAGCTCCTCGTTTCCCCAGCGCGATAAGACTACTACTCAGAGCGGACGGAGTAACGGCGAGGCGGACTGCCGGGACCGTCGTTGCACAGCCAGCGGCGATACCAAGCATTAAACAGTCTAGAGTGGGCTGCGGAGGCAAATCCACCGTGCCACTCCGATCATGTGTCGATCAACGGCTAACGGAACTTGTTTTTGTTGAAATAGGTACATGCACACATACATACTTCACATCGCAACCACCAGCAGCATCAATCGCGAAGAAAGGTCCCATGTACAACCGACCGTCCCCAAGCTCCGCTATCGAGAACTATCCGGGTGCCGTGGGTACCGGTCTCCAACACTGTCCCTGGGTACTGGGATCGACCAGGACTTATCTCTGCCGATGCAATACTGCCCAACCGGCGGGTATGTACATGGTCACGTCCGAATCGGGTGGCCGGTGGGACTGGAAGTCCATCGCCAAATCCACGTCGAACCTACCGCCGCGATAACCTTCCCATCCTAGTTACTCGCCTTTGCCTCCTCCGGGGGAGGTCCTCTTTCTCCCCATATTTCGATGGAATCGGCTGCTGATTTCGCCTTTTTGCACTTTTGGCACCTGCGGCGGGAGCAGGACGCGGATGCCGGAATGCAGCGTAACGAGGGTTTCCGGCATGCAGGGAGGGAGGGGGAGGGGGGGTAAAATCTGGGGTCGGTATTCGGAGGATTGTATTCGGGGGATTGTTTTCGTTGGCTGCAGTGACGCTTTTGAGACAGTGTGTGTATATCCGCCGTACCCTGTACCTAGGGACCTTGCGTGTTGTCGGGGGTTTTCTTATTCTCGATGAACTTTTACCGTATTGTGTTGGAATGGAAATCTAGAATTGAAGCCTTTTTTTCTTTCGTGAGCCGCCCGTAACCACAGTACAGTGTGTCACCGCCGGTGTGCTGTCCCGCTATTGCGGTGACAGCTATGTACGCCCGCTGCTGGGCTTGCCAAGGGGGGAAGCTGTTTGATCGTCCCGCTCGCTGACCGCATGGCGTCCACGTGCTCCCTCGCCGGCCCCATAACCCCAAAACCCCAGAACGTGGAGACGGAGAGCAGGTGCGCCACGGGTCGAGGTATGTAGCAATGATGCCTTTTCGAAGAAAAAAGAAGCCGCGGGCAGTACCGGCGGTCGAGTGATATCTTGTGATTTTCTGAAACGGGCATCGGGGGTTATAGAGCTTTTGAGCCTCGCCAGTCTGTGGAGAGTGGTTTCCCACGGCAGGGCAGTGCGGTACTGGAGATTAGGCGTGACCAGGCTTACTAACAAGAAGTAAGAGGGCGGAACGGCGCCTGCTGTGGTGTGGGTGGTCGTGTCGACGGAAACTTCGGGCTGGGAATGGCGCCGACGGAGGTGGGAGGGGTGGGCTGGTACAGGCGTTGCCGGATACAGACTACCAGTCAGATTCGTTGAGGGATGCGTCTGGATGCCAAATAGATGCCTAGCATATCTATTATCCGATAACAATAGAACGACCGGCCTGGGGGGGTCCTGGTCTTTGGTTTTGCCGGAAGACCGCGGCGGAATCATGCGCCAGTGACGCCTTGAGTAGCAAACAGCGGAGACGCATGGATGAGAGCCTAGAGGTGCGTCTGGATTGGATCTGGTACATACATGATAACTGGGCGCCTGGGACTCGAAGTGGTGATGTGCATATTTACTTGGAAGTTGGACCGGTGAAACCTGAAGGCCATCATTCTTTGCACACTGACTGAGCTAGAATAAATCTAGCTCGCCTCTGGGATTCCTGGTGATAGAATGGGCGGTGTGGTGGTGTGCGTGGTGGGGTGTTATGCGGGTCAGGCTATCTAAGAACATCCTCCGCTGCTGCTCGTCGGAGACGTAGAAATCTCAATGGCTCTATGCTGACTATCTTCAGTTTCTCATGCGATCGCCGATGGTGATGGTGAATCGTGATTCTCGCACTGCTAAAGATTCTCCCCCGTTCGGCGGATAATAGGTACCGCCACCACCTGAAGCGCCACAAGCGCGTACTGAGCAAGTTCGGGATATAGTAGTCATGTGGCGTTTCGCACGATTATGGATCCTCACCCCTTTGAGACTTAAACGAATATTCCTGGGCCCGAATAAGGGGCCGATTAAGCTACGATACATCAGAGAGGAAGTCCAGCCAGCCCAGTGCCGGTAGACTAGTCGTGCCGACGGCTACCTACGTACAGTGCTCTCACTCGAGCCCAAACCAAAAATGGGAAGTATTCGTCGGCCGATGGGGCGCCATTTAAAATTTTACACTCGCAGGACGTCACCCGTAACACGACCGTTATTTGAACGGGCACGAATAGAGAAACTATTGTATGCAAATTCTGGTCGATTAATACCGAGTGATATTTCAACATCGCCAGTGACCGGCAAAACATCGCATATCAGACAATCCGCTCGAATAGAAGGTTCTCCCTTGAGGCCCAGCTTGAAAGAGTGGACGGATAGTAAATAGCACTGCATATACCTCTTGACTCGCCGCATAGGAGTAGCCTCGGTATCCCAAATGAGATTCAATACTCGTATGTGTTTGCTCTGTTAAAAAAAGTCGCCCCAAGCTAATAGAACTCGGTCCGCACCAACTCGGTCCGCACAAACACGGTCCGTACCAGCACGCTCGGATTTTCCTCTTTCACTTCAGACGCCCGTACTCGACAAGTAGATGCCATCTCAAGCTTCAATGCTCCTCATGCATGCACGAGGCTCTACGAAACCGACCGGAAGTAGACGACCACCCTCGTTCATCATGAATACCTCCTCCACCACCGTCATGAACACCTCCACCACCACTACCGCCGCCACCACCACCACCACCACCACCACTACCGACAAACTTCTTCATGTTCTTGCGCAGACACGCCAACAACCTTCCCAAGGTGACCTCCCCTTCCCACCTTGCCTCGCAGTCATTAACAACTATCACTTCCAGACAACAGAATGAGTACGGCGACCATCCATCGCCACCAGGCCCAACGCCGGGGTTCGAACCAAGCGCACTACCGTATTGAACGAGCTACGCAGAGGGCACTCCGACAGATCGCTGCCGCCCGTCTCCGGTACGCCTCCGCCAGCGCGCGTATCGAGGCTGCGATAGACACTGCTGAGAGCCGGCTCACCCGCGCTGCCGACGAGGCAACCAGACGGATGCTCTCGGCGCATCTTCAGCGACTTGGCGTGCGGCTCAGAGTCGTCGAGGACCAGTACTCGAACGAGCGCCAGCTATTTCTCACCAATATCGAATTCCTGCCCATCCAGTGGGAGGTCGCACAGCCCTATCTGGAAGGGTGGGCCTGGCTCGACAATACAGCGGTGGAGGCGTCTGGAGCGCTGCGGTTGGAAGTCATCCAGGAAGACGAAGAGCCTGGAGTGGACTGTTGATGAGACGTGAGAGGGAAGAGGGAAGAGGGAGGGAGGGATATCACTCGCCTTGGGGCTCCGACTTCACCTAGCCTATGGTCCGCTTTCTACTCTGGTTGGTGTCATCCTTATCCAATCGTTCCTCTGCTGACTGTGAGCGAGCAGTATGTTTCCTGAAAATGTTCGTTTGCCTTTCACATACCGCTTAATCGGTCACCAAACGCAGCACCCGTGATCACTCGCCCTTTTGATCCTCTATCATGTTCTCCCGCCTAAATCCCATCCCGTGGCTTTTCACGACATAACTTGAGCGGCAGAACATCTGATGACGCACGAGCTCCTGCCCAAGCCCACCCACTACACTTTCGTGATATGAATTAGTTATGCGCTACGCCAGCTCCCGAAATAGGTCGATCAGTGGCTTGCATGAGCGCCTATCAGAGATTCAGCACATCTATCTAGCCGCAGCTGCTGCGCTGCGGGCTGTGCGACATGCAGAGCCAAGCGAGAAGCCCCTGCACGGAGGGGTGGATCCTCGGTTTGCACGGAGCGAAGATGTGGTGTTGTGAAGGTCCTTTTGTTTCTCCAGATCCGCATCCGTCGAGTGTTTGGAAAGCTCTTGACCGTGATGCAGTATACTATATTGTGGGTATCCCGTCGAAGCTATCCAACGGCGGGGTACCTAGTTGCATCGTCATATCATTCCATGAAGGTCCGTCTCCACGACAACGGCGGCGACTCATCTCCTCCCTCCTCCATCCCCCCTCCACACCACTTGACTGTCTCAGTCTTCGCCAGTAACCACGCCACTTTCTTCTGCCGAAGTCTATCCTAGCGGGTCTCACTCGCATCCCAAAGATCCCGATGAGCACACTGTGAGCAGTCACGAAATCAGATGGGGGTAGTTAATCCAAGGGTGAGAATCAATGAATATATCACATTTTGAAAAAGTGTTGCAGGTGATGTCAGCTCGACTCTAGAGTACACAGATACACTGCCGAATTGTCCAGGATCGAGCTGAGCAGAAGCGGGGAAACAGCTTGGCCACCCACTGTCTCTGCCGTCGAAGAATGGCGCAGTACCGGTATGTACTGGGAATCATTCTAACTATGGCCAGGTTTTCGTCCCATTGTGTTGACAGACGATAGGAAAAAAACATCCGAATGCTTCGGCACATTTTCTCTCCCTCAAACTCCCCTGGTAAGTATCTGGCGCCACGTGTCTACCTATCGCTCTCGGCTTCGCCCCAGACTACGGCTCGGTCGCTGATCACGGGGTACTCCAAGCGGAGGATGTGCCCGGCCGCAGCAGATGTGCCCGGCCGCAGCAGATGTGCCCGGCCGCAGCAGATGTGCCCGGCCGCAGCAGATGTGCCCGGCCGCAGCAGATGTGCCCGGCCGCAGCAGATGTGCCCGGCCGCAGCAGATGTGCCCGGCCGCAGCAGATGTGCCCGGCCGCAGCAAATGTGCCCGGCAAAGGATTAAGGGCGGCCAGTTTCCTATATAAACCATAGCAGATCCCCCCGGGATGTGTGCAATGTGCGCAGTTGTGAGCGATGTGCCCAATGGCAGAGATGTGAGAGCGATGTGCCTCGTTCGCTCGAGAGAAGAGTGAAGTCCAGTGATGGACCGGCAGTTTTATAAGAACATAAGGGGCATGGAATTCGTACCCCCACCCCCCCTGACCCTCCATTCCTTCTCTCATTACCGCCAGCTTGAATTCGCGATTACCGTTCTTGTTTCATAGTCGTCGAAGGCTTGTGCATTCCTCCTGTATCAACACTATTGATGTCAAAACGTTCTGAACTCCCCCTTGAACTCCAGGTAAGCCACAGTCTCACTTTCCCGTCGAGTTGACTGCCAGGTGCAAGATGAGCGGTAGCTTGCCGTCGATACGGTACTGACCGTTTCTTTCTAGGCGTTCGTCAGCCTCACACAGTCCTTCTCTCCTTCTCTCTACATCGCCCTGCTGGACGCAGCAGTAGTCGTCAACTCCGAAGAGATCCTGCCTCCATCCATAAGCGACTACGAATTACTTGGGCTGAAAGGAATGCTATTCCAATCGAGTCGGGTTATTGCCTGCCTTCGGTTCTGCCACGTATTGGAGACGGTATCGGTTATCTCTGCCCTCCCTCCGGTGACCTATACCGACCCTAAGGGTATCGGCCACTGCCTTCGAACGGCACCAAAGGGGGATGAATGGGATGGCAATCCAGAGCGTGGGCCCTTGGGTTCTGTCTACGGAACTGTACGTTGGAAGATGTCAATAAACTTCTCGTATGGGACTAATAGCGGGTCATTGATAGGCCAGCGCGAGCTCCGGCGCATATGCCAGTGATTCTGAGGCTTCCGAGGCTTCCGGAGCCCGATACCCTGCCAGAATGACTTCAAGAAACCAGATGCTCAAAGATCTGGAGACCATCCCCACCATCGAATATGCCGAGCGAATTCATCCATGGATTGCTTTCGGCCACTTCAGTGTAAGTTGAAAGGCTGCTGTTGATCCTTGCGTAAACGACGCTTGCGGAATAACACTGACCAAGTACTTACGTGCGAGTAGTTGACGAAACAAGAGTATCCGCTTGAGGAAACCAGCCCCTGGAACCAAATGAAAGCCATGATGAAGCAACAGCATGCCCGCACGCCAAGCAAAAACCATGCCGGGAGCACTACTGGTAATGGAGGAGATGCGGGGCGGATTAAGAGACCCAGGACATCATTCTCTGGTAACAGAGATGTTGATGAAGACGGCGATTGCAACGACTACGGGTACGACGATGACGACGATGACGACGACGATGACGACGACGGCAGATCTCCTACCGCGAGCCTACCTCCTGGGGATGATCTTATGGAATGCTTCTTATGCCAGGATCATTTTTGGACTCTGACAGTTTATTGTAAGTACTCGCTATAGTCTAATCCAGTTAATATGTACATCATTAACCATAGCTGTCTTGCAGGCAACATCTCGTGCAATTCCATTCGGAAAACTGTTGTCCCATTTGTGAGGAGAAGATTACTTTGACCAACGGACGATATCAACTCAGATCCGGCGTGCTGATCAAGAATATCTTCTTCAAATTAAGTTGATGAAGTGAGTGCACACATCTATTTCCGTACTCGAGACCAGCCCATAGAGCATAATGCTAATGTTTTCGTAGACCCCATGTCATTAGGATTCATATAAGGCCCTACATATGTCTTATCACTGGGTGCGGCAAGAGATTCGATTCTCGTGGACTCAAAAAGCACCTGGGGTGTTGCGGGGAGCTTTCAAAAAGCCCTCACGACAAACAGGATATCCGGGATGCTATCGACCAGGTCGGGGGTACATCAGAATTTAAGAAGTGGGGTGACTTGGGCTCAAATCTGCAATTTCCAAGGCTTCATGCTTTGGTTGGGTTGTTCAAGGGATGCCAGAGCAAGGCACAGATGAAGGCGTACCTGTATCGGAACGGACAGAAGATATATGACTGTGATGATTCTGCAGGCGTCGTGGATAGTAGGTGGCTCTCGTACAGACAATTTGAGCAGAATTCTAATCAATTGGTTAGGACTAGATGAGTTCTGGAATATACAGCCAGTCCTTTCCGAAAATCCGCCGCCGATCATAGAGCATCCCGATGTTTATGTGGTTGAAAGTCCGGGGATTGAGTCACCGCGGCGAGGAGATGAGCCCGGTCCTTCCAATGGTACGGCTCAGACGCAGAAGAATACTCAGGCAAACACCAATGGCAACGACAACGTCTCCCTTGACACCCGTTCCTCTGCAACTAAGAACCTCAAAAGGCGGTGGGGTGCGCAGGTTTCGGAATCCGTCGAGACACCCGCATCGCGTCAACGAGCAACGGGAATAGTACCAGACTCGAGTGTGGCCTCACCATTATTCGACTCGAACCATTCATCACTACAGTTGTCGTCTGTCTCCATGTCGTCCACAGAAGCAGGAGCCCCCGGTTTATTTTTATTAGGCACGGTTGCACCGCAAGATTTACACCGAGACTTTCAGAACGATAATATCGAGTTCAATTCCATGGGGCAAGAGTCTGCCGGATACACTCAACCCCACATTTCCACTCATCTAATGGATAATATCAATGAATCCTCCGTCTTGAATGCGGCTCTCCAACTACGGGTCTCGCAATACACCGACGATTATCCGGTATCGCCAACCCCTCCCCAAACAGACCATGCCGAGCCACAACAGGATTATGACGATCAGAAGATGCTATGTTTCCTGCATTACCCGAACGAGATAGAAGTCCCAGCAGAAAACAGCCAGGACCACATCCGTGACCAGCCAGCAGCTTCTCCATACACAGATCAAGCAACACAATCTCCCAGATCTCCAGCTATTGTCCCGCAGGAGCAACCTCTTGAGGCGATTTCTTCGAACACGACTGGATATAATCTCGCGAAAACGTTTCACCAAACGAGCCCGGATATCTTTGCAGGGGTTTTGCGGTACATCCAGGAGAGTGGCATCATGATCTTGCCCGCCTACTCGTCCCCGGTCCCTTCCTCGTCTCACGATAGTGGAATCGCAAAGTCGAAGAGGAACAGCAGAACCCCCGGATATCATCATTCCCGTCAGTAACCACAGGTCGACCCACTTGCACAGGCTGGCCAGCATACACAGATTGGCCAGCATACATACAGTAGCCAGCATTTACAGGCCCGCCACCATTCACGGGCTGGCCAGCATCCGCAGGCCGGCCAGCTTGGACAAGCCGACCAGCATCCACAGGCGGATCATTATTCACAAGCCGACCATTATCCACAGATTGGCGAGTAATGAGAGGTCGGATAGTACCCGCCGACCGGTACCAACGAGGGGGCCGGAACACCACACAGCGGGAGATTTTTGCGGGGCTGGTGCTTGCTTATTGCATCTTGGTTCTGCCTGTCACAGAGGATTGGGAGGAAGTAAAACAACCGTGAGTGTCATGGGAAGGCACCTCGGTAGGACGGAACCTAAACCGCAGGCCGTGCTCTTCCTTCTTGGTTCTGCGGGCAGCGGGTCGCCGGGGTGCTTCATCATCGCGTAGCACTCGTCAAAATCCAAATCCGTGGTGGGCCTCCCGGATTAACGTTATCCAGGTCCCTGATAAGTTCAATAAACCCTTGGACATCCCCTCGGTGCTATGATCCTAAGTTACATATTCTGAAATGGGCGTCATCAAAATCTCCATGGGTCGAGTCATTACATATTGATAAGGCCCGAAGACAACCGTTCACTCACAGTTACCTCGTGTAAGTGGTGCTCGGTGTGACTGATTTCGACTGTTCAACTTCGATCTGCCAATTGTGTCGAATGTGCCGAATGTGCCGAATGTGCCGAATGTGCCGAATGTGCCGAACGCGCATCGCGCGCCGACCCGCCGATGTGTCGATGTGTCCTATGTGCCCAATGTGCACGATGTGCGCGGTGTGTTGTAGAGCCCTCTCAAAAGCCACGAGACTAGGTTGTTTGCCGTATCGAAGCACAGACAGACTGTGTTGAGGAATTTGCGCATGGCCAAAAGATCGACGACCCGCCTCAGCAGGCGAGGCCCAACCACACACCGGCCCAGCCCGGGCAGCTCTGCCCTCATCTTCCGCATGATGTCTTTTCATTAACCCACCGGATTACTGTTAACTGGTGAATTGCATCGGCATACTCTGCGTAGTTCGTGTTCGGTGTGGATCTTGATGTTCCCTCCCCTCACGTCACACACGCCGGCGGCTGATTGCCAGTTGGAAGGCTTGCGGAGCAGCATGTATGTCGGTTGGCGCCGCAAGGTCACGTGGCGGTAGAGTACGGAAGCACGGGCTTGTAGGCGCCCAGTACTTCCGGAAACCCGCGAAGCCGGTAGCAGGGGAACGCCATGGCCGAGAGCTCGATCGGACTCGGTATGCAATCGGTTTAGCTTTCATTCTCGATAGCTGTGGCATACGGGAATACAGCGGAGATAACAACTTCCGTACGGCAAGCAAAAACTGCGCTAGGACTCCTGCAGGCAACATCTCGTGCACTCCCATTGGGAAAACTGCTGTCCCGTTTGTGAGGAGAAGATTCTTTTGACCAACGGACGATATGAACTCAGATGTGGTGTGTTGATCCAGAATATCTTCTGCAAGACAAAGTTGATGAAGTGAGTGCCAGTGTTCGACACAGGTAGTCCAGTCCGTCCGTCCTAAGCCACGGACAGGACTGGACCGTATTTTGGTGGTCCGTCCGGGAGCGGTGTTCGGACGGACTAGTCCAAAGAAAATCGAGGCCAGACGAACTGCAGTTGACTGGAGTCCGCACCCAATCCACGTATTCCATGGACTTGACGAACTACATACTTTTACGCGGTCCGTCCAAGAGGTCGGACTGGACCAGATCTCCGACGAACTGGCCAGAGGCACGGGACCCTCGAGCCGAGCGCAGCTAGTGCCGGATCTCGGTTCGCCTTGCTGGGAACTGACCCGGAGCTCTACATAGCTATTCAATGGCCGACGACTATCTACAACTTTCGAGGCCCTCTTTCTTCAGCACGTTCAGGGGGGGGGGGGGGGGGGGGGGAGGGGAGATTATCTTAGGATGTAGATAGGTACATATCAAACTGATTCCAATAGAGCGACTCAAGGATGAGTTGTTGATCCCGCTTGCGAGCACCGGATGCGTAACTACCGATGGGCGATGGTGCTGCTCGCCGGCAACTTTCAAATTTCGATGTTGATATCATCACCATGCTCAAATACGACCTATGAGAATACCCGAGTAGTTATCGAGGTTTGAATACTTTAAACAGTGGACACTGGACACAGCTTCGGAGCTTCCATCATCCATGTGCTATTTATAGTTACTGGCTCGGCGCCCTGGTTATTAGTTAACCATTGTGCGACTCCAGTCACCCGCACCCGGACTCCCCGAGTTGCCGGACCAACAGGGTCAAGTCTCACGACACACTCCGCACTCTCTCGATGGCGAACTCATCTCCCAGCTCCGGCTCCAGCAAGGCCTCCAAAGCTTTCAAGGTCCGTCTAGTTAACGCGGAGCCCATCCACCGGCGCACCAAGACCGGCTGCCTAACTTGCAGATTACGCAAGGTCAAGGTATATCTCCCCCGCCGCCAACTACGCGCTCCCCCACGTACATAACTACATGCCTTTTGCTGACGCAGTCGGCCCACCCCTCCCCAGTGCGACGAAGTGCATCCCATCTGCTCACGTAACAATTCCCCGAGCCCGCTCGCTGTGACTTCCGGCTTGCTTGCTTTCCGGCTGACACGCGTGATCCACAGGATGTCAGAAGGTCGGCCGCGTGTGTACATACCCGGCGCCAGAGGACCAGCGCCCAAAACCTTCGAGGATACAAAAGCCCGGGGCTTCCCGAAAACCGTCTTTTTCGGCTTCAGGGAATAGCCAAGAGACAGTGTGTAGTGTAGGGATGGATAGCAATGCGCAGGTAACTTCTCTCGAGGGACTGGGGGGGAGGGTTTTTTTCTTTTCTCGCAGCGAGTCCACCACTAATTCCTCCTCCGTCTCCCGCGTAGGTCCCCGCGTCCCAAGCCCCACCGTATGCATATTGGATGAGCATCCCGTCACGTGCAACACTTCTGCCTATCGTCGTGCCTCCTGCGATCCCTCCGCCTCCGCCGCCGCTACCGAACCCCTCCGTTGAGCACGGCAGCCAGCCACGGCAAGAATACAGTCAGCTCCACATCGACCCTCTCCTGGACCTCTCCAAGGCAGATTCGGACGCACTGGGACCGAAAGTGCTGGCGAAGCTGCCAGACTTCATCGATGCTTATGCGGATATCTCGAAGGCGGTCGATGAGTCCGGCCCGATGGCTGGAGACGCGCTGGCAAGGATACTACTCGAGGGACCGCTAGAGCGCGCTATACGACGGCAGGTACGGTTGACGAGCGGTGGAGATAATGTCATGTCAGTGCCCGTGTTGGTGAACGGTAGATTATTCTCTCCCAGGGCGAATCCCAGCATTGCTAATACGTAAACCTAGATAAAACAAGATATCCTTCGACTCACAGGCCCTAAACATCGGAGACCGATTATTCTCGACGATAGATCTAGGCTATAGGGGGAGCACAGCGTTGCTTCGATGGCGATGAGGCTGCGCTCTCGTGGGGATGAGGCTGGGGAGGTTCGGGGTTTTGGGACTTGGCGATGCAAGGTGATACCTGACCGCGAATGTCCAACCGGTTACCGGAGTTGTGAATGATATATATGGGCTCCTTCCTCTTCGTTACTGTGAGGCTTGAGCAGTTTTATAAGTGAGGTACGACCACATAGCAAGCGTATATTTACTATTACCTACTAGATGTAACTACCTGGATGGGTAGAGTGGCGACGTATGTAATCTGTGAAATCCCAATAAGCTCCGCAAATTTCGGAAGCCCGGCCCCATAATCCATTTCCCCTCCGGTGAAGTCAAAATTGACTCATACTTTTTGTGCATAAATCCATCAACAGCTGTATACCGGTATCCGGGAATCGCTCGTTACCGAATCTACAACTGCACCTTCCCTGGAAGCACCCCGCACTACATACCGCCGGCAATCCTTGTCAAAGCCAACCGGCAGCACCCGCAGCCATGGGCCCGCCTCATAAGGCGCTAGTTAGGTTAGCCAGATGCGGATGTGGTGTCAGTTACGCACTAAGCGCGCTGGCGGCATGACCTCTTCGCTTGTGGGGGAGAGGGGGGGATTGGCCGGGCTGTGGGACAGGGCTGAGGGCCTTTGGGCCTTGATTGGCCCATCAACTGCCATCCGGTTTCTTTGCTTCTCCAGTCTGTCATTCGTTCTGGCAGCATTCGACCAGTGCTATGCCCATGTTCCACGAATCATCCTTCTGCACTCGTCCACTTTGGTCCTATTCCGTTATCCATGTCGGGCCCGACGCTACCAGAAGCTTTTTTGCTTGTCTCCTGGCCTGGCCAGGCATCACACTATTCACTCTTGTGCACGTACATTGCTACCATCCGCCTTTCTCTATCCATCCAGTCTGTTATCCGCAGCACCCTACATACATTACTCCGTCTCCACACTCCAGCTTCTCTTTCCACTTTCCTATCTCCATCTGCAGGCAGCATGGATAACCGTACCCCAAAATACCCCACGACTTACTACCCCCCGAGGAGACCGAGACGCGGAGTAGGCCACTGGGTTCCGCACGCGCTGACGGTCGAGCCCGCCATCGCAGCCGACATCCCCTCTATCGTATCCATCATTTGCCGGTACGCCCCGAAGATCGACCCACGCTTCGACGGTATCTTCCCACGGCGCACGCGATTTCCCGGCGACTTCCGGCAATTCATCACGGAGCGGCTAACCGAATTCTTCGAATCCCCGCAATACCACCTCCTCTCGGCGGTAATCCACATTGACGGGCAAGATCCGCGGTGCGGCTGCCCCGTCGAAAGGCCCGGCACGCTGGTCGTCGGCTTCGCACTGTGGGAGCGCGTGGGCCGCGGGAAACAACTCGAGATCATAGAGAAGATCTCCGGCTACGGCTGGCTCACGCGGCTGGTACGCATCATTGCCGCCACCGTCACCGCCCCGCTAGCGTTCAACCTCGCAGTCAACCACGAGGAGTACGAGGCGTACGTCGCCGCTCGCGAGATGCAGGACGCAGAGTTCTCGATATACCACGCGGAGCACTGGCGGCTGCACGCGGTGGTTGTGAATCCGCGCTGGAGCTCGTGGGGGTCGGGAAGAAGCTCATCTCGTGGGGTTTGGATAAGGCGCGCGAGGACGATGTCGCCGTCGAAGCGGAGACTACCCCCCCTCGGTACGCATTGCGAGGAGCTTTTTGTTCGCTTGGGGTTCACCAGGTTCGGGAAGTTTATGCCGACGGTGAATGGGGTTTTTATGGGCACGACCCATGCGTTGGCAGCCGTGGATGTCTCCGCCGAAGATGCGCATGGCGAAGTTGGACGCGGGCGCGGAGAAGGTGGGAGAGAAGAAGAAGCCATTGGTCAGGACGGAGCCGGAGGTGTGTACTTGCTATGGATAGTACGCAACTGGTGGGCGCGGGGTTCCGCTGGTCGGAATGGTTGGGCTGTGTACGATTATGAACTGTGACGGAGGGGTCTTTGTATGCTTAAGGAATGGAACCTGTCATGACCAAATTTCGCCCTTGAAAACGGTCTACACTCGAGATTATAGCGAGGCATTACTACTGTATTCTATCCATGGCGGGAATTTTCCCACGGCTGTGAGGGGCCTTGGGTGGTGACTTGAATAACATCATCAACCGTCACCACACTCGGCAACGACAAAGAGACGACTTCACCTTTGCATGTTACCCGACCATAACCACCATAGGTAAGTAGTCTACACAGATTCAAAGCGAGTATGTACATGTAATGAAACAAATAAATTCCCTCCGACCACACGACCATCCCATCCTTCAGAGGAAACCATCATGGAGAATACCTACCGATTCTAATCCAGCGAGGGAGAGAGAGAGAGCGAGAGAGAGAGATTCTGATCAGACCATCTACTTTTCTGTTTATATATTCTTTCACCCGAAGTTTACATCATACGAGTGAGAACTCACAGACCGCCCCGCCACTTTGGCACCACCATTAAAATTCGAATACTATGTAGAACGACCCGATTACCATACCTAGAAAATGCCAGAAAACAAAACCAAAACCAAAACCAAGTTCAAATCATACAATTCCCTAATACAGAATACTCGATCGCATGAGAAAAAGGGCTGTATAAAAAGCAAAGAAACTCCCATCAAGCAGTCCGCATTTGACCAGTTATCTAGTAGTAGTTAGTATCTATATCTATCCCGCCCCCTCCCCGCTGGCAAGCCCCTTCAGCGCAATGATGCGAATGCTGATGCGGACCCCCGCCTCGGCGGACCACGCCCGTTAGCGTCATCACGCTCACTATCAGTCTCGTAGCTCTCCGTGCTATCGCCCTCGTCGCTCTCCCTCCTGCCATTCCCACCATAACCCCGCACCTGAACCCACCTCCCACCAGTGCCATGCGCATCACCCGCGCGAGGAGGGGATCGGAGCGGGTAGTGTCCCATGTGACCCCCGGGGATCGACGGGTATGCCATGGGCACGCCGGGCTGCCGACGGCCGGGCATAGGGATTGCGCGCCCCAAGGCCGGGAGGAGCGTACTCGAGGTTCGAAAGCGCCCCGCCCGCGGACGAACCCGTCTAAGCTGCCGTCATCGGAGGAGGAGCCTTCGTCGGAGCTGCCGGACGAGGCGTAGGTGGCGTGCGGGTGGTGCGCGTGGTGGTGGTGGTGGTGGTCGTGTGTGCGTGGTTATGGGGGGTCGTGGTGCGTGTGCGCGTGGTGGTGGTGGTGATGGCTGTTGGGAGCGGGCCGAGGCGGCGGGAAGGCGCCCCCCGAATCAGCTGGGGTGGGCCGTAGCCGGGCAGGTGCAGGACTCGGCCGGGCATGTGTTGTGCTGGGGCTCCGCCGTACTGGATCGGGATCATTGGCGGTACGCGGCGGGGCGGGTGTGCGCGGTCTGGGCTGCTGTCGCGGCTGGATCCGTCGGATCCGTAGGGTTGACGACGGTGAGCCATTGTGTTCTGTGTATGTATGTGATTGTAGCGGAGGAGTGGTTGTATTCAGGTTTTGGGGATCTGTGTCGTTGATGTATGAGGATGAGGTTGTGGAATCAAGGTGTGTTGATGAGGGAAATGGACTGGACGGATCTGAGGGCCTCTATTTATGCCGGGCTGTGGCGGGTTTTCTATCACACACTGTTTACCTGTATAATACTTTGAAATCATCTCACGGCACTGGTAATTGAACGGAGATGTTGAACGAGATATATGTCAGGTGCGAAGTCAGATGCTGAGTGATCTTCTATGCTGCAGCTAACACGATCCACCCATCACGATCGTAGTCAATGCACTGATATGGCGCGAATGAGAGGAGGCATTCTTCGTGGAGGAGCAAACTTGTTTTCCCAGTCCACTCCATTAATTACCGCCAGCAACCCTTTTCTCATATTCCTCCCATCCAGCCTTCCTGTACTCTTCCGCGGTGAGAGTGTCTAATCGAACCATCTACCTAGCAGATCATCTCACGGAGTTTGTATGTAGAGTGCGAGTGAGAAGTCACAGGTGCCAGCTACGCCTGCACCACCACCACCACCACCACCATGGAACATGCGTACTATTGAAGTTCGAATTCTCTATACAGTGGCTAACTAACTAGAAAGCGCCAGAAAACCAAAACCAAAACCAAAACCAAGTTCAAATCATACAACTTCCTAAGAATACAGAATCTCGATCACACATCAAATGGGTTGTATGTATAAAAAATCAAAGAAACCCCCCCCTCAATCAGCCCGCATTTCACCAGTCATCTACCTAGTATCCCTTTAGTATCTCTGATGCCGGCCCCCTCCCCGCTGCGGATCCCGCATCGCCGGAGCACGCCCATGACCACCGCGAGCACCACGAGCACCGCCACGCTCACTATCCATGGTCTCTTCACTCTCTCTGCGGTTTCGCCCCTCGCCGTTCCTCCCCCTCTCCCATCCTCTCCCATCCCCGCCATCCGCCCCACCCCGCCCCCGCCTCCCTCCCTCCAACCAGCGCCTAAGCGCCTCCGGCATATCAGGCGGATACCCGTGCCCCACAGCGGCAGCGGGACGTTGCTGGAACCCCCGGCGGTATGCAGTCCTCCACCAGGGGCCACCAGGCTATGGTGATTTCCCGGGCCTCGGGGGTCGCGCCGCCCTTAGGGGGCGGCGGCGTGTGTAACGCGTGTTTCCCCCGCCGCAGCCCACCGCGCGGAGACGAACTCGGCTAGGCTGTCGTCGTTCGGAGGGGGCTTCGTCGGAGCTGTGGGAATGAGGCGTAGGTGACGTGGGTTGCGGGTTGGTGGGTATAGGGGTGGTAGGTGTGGTGATGGCCATTTGGTAGCTGGGCGGGGGATCCCTGCCTGGGAAAGTGCTGTGCTGGGGGCCTCCTGCGGCTGCGCCGTACTCTTTTGGGCATCGTTGGCGGTTTGGCGGCGGCGGCCCCGTGTGCCCGGCCTCCGGGCTGTTCGAGCGGCTGGATCCGTGGGCTTGGCCCGACGGTGTGGCATTGTGGTTTTTGAGTGTGTATTTGATTGTAGCAGACGGGTGGTTGTGTTTAGGGCTGTGAGGATCTTTGTTGATATATGAGGATGTGGATGTGGTCAAGGTGTGTTTGATGAGGGAGTGGAGTGGACGGATCGGAGGGCCTCTATTTATGCCGGGCTGTGGCGGGTTTTCTCTATCATCACACTGTTTACCTGTATAATACTTTGAAATCATCTCACGGCACTGGTAATTGAACGGAGATGTTGAATGGGATATATGTCAGATGAAAAGTCGGATGAGTGATCTTCTATGCACCTGAGACGGTTCACTATCACGATCGTAGTCAATTCTCTCGGATGTTGCGCGAATGAGAGGAGGCATCCTTCGTTGCGGAGCAAGCTTGTGTCCCAATCCACTCCCTTAATTACCCCCCGCAACCCTCTTCCATAATACGCCTCCCAACCCGCCTTCCTGTACTCCTCCGCGGTCGTGACCGGGTCCGCAGCGCCGATGATCCCCCTTCCAACAATGATAATATCGCTCCCCTTCTCGCCCACAATCCTCTCGGGCGTATTATACTGCTGACCCAGCCCATCGCCCTTCCGTCCCAAATCCACCCCGGGAGTCATCACAATCCAATCCTCGCCTCCCCCCTCCCTGTTCTCCATAGCGCCCTGCGCGATGAAGCCCATGACAAACTCCTTCTCCCCCCCCTCGCCATCTCGAGCGTTTTTCGCCGCATACTCCCCACCGCCCAGACTGCCTTTACTCGACATCTCGGCGAGCAGCAATAGCGCGCGGGGGTGTGCCACCGTAGCGGCAACCTCCTTCAAGCCGTCGATAATCCCGGTCCGGGCACGGTATGGGCATTGGTGATATGCGCCCCACTGCGCGATACGGTACACGCCCCCCGCCGTACTGCGCCTTAACCCGCTGCGCGCCCGATGTCGGCAAACTTCCGGTCCTCGAAGATCAGAAAGTCGTGCTTCGCGGCGAGCGCGGCGAGCGCACCAGTAAACGCCGCGATAAATCACCTGCCCCCGAGAACGGCAGGATGTCGATGTGTGTTTTTCGCGACGCAGATTGAGGGTCCCAGGATGTCTAAGAGACGGAGGATCTCCGAAGGTGAGGGCAGATCTAGGCTTGATGCACAGGTTGGTGCGCTTTTTGCGCGAACATCAAAGAGAGTAGCGTCCGCCCGAGCGCTGTCGGGTGCGTCGAAGAGCGCTGCAAGTAGGTGGCTTGTAAGCGGAGACATCGTTGTGGGCTGTTGGGTGAGGCTTGAGTGAGGATTTTTTTGTGTCCGCGATGCTTGGTGGGGGTGGTAGAGTGGTGGGGTGATGGGGTTTCGCGCTAGGCCTTGCATTGATGCTGTCATGGTGCATTGGGCGAATGATAGCTCGTTGCGCCCATTCAACCTCTGCCAGCCATTGACCCCTCCGTCTCCATTCACCTCCGTCTCCATTCACCTCCGTCTCATTCACCTCCGATTCACCTCTGTCTCCATTCACCTCCGCAGCCATTCAACCTCCTCGCCGCGCTAAAATACTGTGAAGGAAATCATAGGAACAGCAAGAATCGATCTAGGAATTTACAAGATATAATTTAGTTTAGAGGTGTGATTATAGATCTGATGGGAACTTGGAAAGGGCATGTAGAAAGAAAACGAAAAGTACGGTATCCAAAAGACAAAAACCTAGCGCCTGACCGACCCCATCGATCCCACCGACCCACAGTCCCTTCCTCTCCCCCCTGCTCCTCTCTCCCCGCGCCTCTCTCCCCTCTCCCTCTCCCCGTCTCCCTCTTCCTCTCCCTCTCCCGCTCCCCTCCCTCTCCCTCTCTCCCTCTCTCCCTCCTCTCCCTCCCTCTCTCCTCTCTCTCCCTCTCTCCCCTCTCTCCCTCTCTCCCTCTGCACCTAGTGACCCCAGTCTCCACCTCGTCACACCCCCCTCCTTTTCCGGCCGCGGCAAATCTCGATGTTTTCCTAGCCTGATCCTTGCGCCATAAAGGTAAAAGCAAAACGGATAGCGCCGCATGCGAGACCAGTAAAGCCAGGAACGGTGCTTGCCCACTGGTATCCCATCTTGTGGTACATCTGGCTCGTGAACAGGACTGTGCTTGCGCCCCACATGGACCGGAGAAATGTTTTGGCCGCGAGCGCGGAGGCTGCTTGGGATTGGTACGTGTCCACTGCGGGGGGGTTGGTTAGATAAGTGGGGTGGGCGAGGGGAAGGGAAGGGGTACGTACCCAGGTAGTTATTGCACGAGTTGTACAAGAAGATGAACCCGAAACCCGACTGGAAGCCGCCCAGCATGCTGCCCTGCCCAGTGGACGTTCGGATAGCTGCACCAGGCAAAGATGAACAGGCCGATGGGGATCAGGAAGCAGGGAGTACATCATCGGGATCAACCGCATTTCCGGCGGGGGATTGCCGTTGAACTTTGCGTGGATCTTGAGGTAGTGCTTGTTTACGAGCGGTGCGCACGCGGCGCTGGCGAGGACCCCCACCGCGATCGGGAGGAACATCAGCCCTGTTACTCCCGGACGCCAGTGTTTGCCCTCTTCGTAGACGATGGGGTAGGCAACCTGCGGGGTAGGGTGTTAGCGGACGTGTGGATGGTGGTGAAAGCGAGGGTGGAACGCATACAAAGAACATGTACAGCAGGCCGTAAAGCACACTCATGTACAGACTCAGCAGAAGCACGATGAGCTCTCCGAACAGCAGCTGGAACGGCCGAGCAACGAAAAGCGTAAGTGTTTCCTTGAACGGGCGGCGGTCAATCTCGTCCTCGGTGACGTGCATTTGGTCGCCGGTTTCTTTGCGCAGCTTTTTGGCGCGGTCCGTGAGGATCTTGGGCGCGTACGTCTCGGACACGGTGAAGGTCAGGACCAGGTAGATTGTGCCGGCGAGGATCAGCTGGATCCAGTAGAGCCAGCGCCAGCCATTGGACATGTCCAGGTAGCCGCCGATGAGAGGACCTGCAGCGGGTATTAGATCTAGGTGAAATGATGGTTCATACGAACGGGGACATACCAATCGCGGGACCGATGAACGGAGCGGCGCTGAAGACTGCCATGGGAACACCACGTTCTTCGTTTTTCCACAGATCTGCCAGACTTCCACCGACCTAATCACCCAGTCAACACACTGCCTTTCGCGCCAAACGGAAGATATACACACCAATGTCATGGGCGCTGACATAGCGATTCCGCAGAGGGCTCTGCAAACCAGCAAAGTCTGGATATTCTTAGCCAAGGCGCACGGGATGATAAACAGCACCGACACGCCCAAAGTCGTAACATAGATGATCCTTCGTCCGAGGATCTCACTCATGGGCGCGAACGCCATGGGGCCGATCCCAAAGCCAACCACGAACAGTGTGACGCTCAGCAACGCGACCTCTCTCGAAACGCCAAACTCCTCCTGGACACCCTTGATTCCGGGAGTGATAACCGACGAACACAGGGCGACGATGAAGCACATCACGGCAATAACCATCGTGATCCACCATTTGTAGGCTTTGCTCCAGTTCTTGGGGTTGTCCGGGTCGTCGATGGTGAAAGTCACGAGTTTGTACGAGACCTTTTCGCCACGCGCAGAGATGGTGCGCTTGATGATCTCGCCAGTAGCGGTTTCCGTGGTGTATTCCCCGGTGTTGGCGGTGTTGCTTAATGTGCGGTACGCTAGATATGGGTCGTTCGGGAGGTGGCTGATAGTTCGGGTGGATGTCTTGTCTGCATGGGTGTCAACACCAACCCGGGCCAAGCGATTGGGGAGGACTGTATTGTGCATACATTCCACCAGGCTCATCTCCAAGAGAGGGTGCGGTAGAAGGAGCGGTCGAAACCATGGCTGAAGTCGACGCCATTCCTCTCGAGCTCGCAATGGAAGGCAAATCAATAGGAAATAAAGAAAGAACGGACCAGCGGAAGTGTCCGAGTGCAAATGTATGTCTGAACTACCAGCCTTCTCATCCCTTCGGAGCACAGGGAGAAGCCATATATATAGCAAAAGAAAACCCGGTGAGACGTCTCCAATTCAGTTCTGACCTCGAGCCCAGCAGAAAGAAAACCTGATGGGCCGCTCGTTACAGACTTCCTGCCTTGTGTGTACCTATGGCTGGCAATGCCGAGTTTGCCGTGCCCACGGGTGTGCCAAAGAAGCTTTTACAGCCGAAAGTAGTGCTGTATGTAGAACATTTATGTAGCTCCTCCGCCGAGAGAAGCCGTTGACGAGAGCGGTTATTCCAGGCGTCCCGTTGTGGTCTTGGGCCGTCGAGTTTGGGGGCGAAGGTGTCTAGATTTGACTTCACGTTCTGTTTGTGGCGTGAGTCTCTCCATTCTTCCTTTGGCTCTAAATCACCATACCGAGTTTCTTCCTTCAGAAGAAATTCTTCAAGCCCAGCTGTTGAAGGAAGCAATAATCGTCCATCGTCCATCTTCAGATCTTCAATTCATTTCGAATTGAACGCCACCAAAAACAAGCGCAACACGGTCTCGGAAAATCCTTCGGTATGCAGTGCATGCAGCGGAGCGCAGGGATCCCGGTAAACAGAAGAGTCGAGCAAGCTTCGGAAGTCGGTCTTCGGAAGTGGGGGAGCTTGTGCTCGGTTTCAGCAGGGATTAAGTTCCTGTGTCGTGAGTCGTGAGTCGTATCGTTCGATGGCCGTTCTGCTTCCAGAATGGAACGAGCCACCCGAAAACTTGCTATGACGTATCCGGCGGGAGGGAAAGAATGCAAGTTTCGGAAAGATTCGGTTTTGAACGTGGTTTTATTCGTTCTGAAGTCAAGCCCATGAGATCACCCATGTCTTTGATGTCTCTCGGACGAGAGAAGAGGAAGAGACTTCCAGAGTACCGCGTACATGGCGCGCCGACACGTTGGGATTTGAGACCGTGTCCAAGGGTCCTGGTCCCTCGATTGGCGGCCCCCGTCTTGCAGCTTCCACGCAGCAGCTCCTTGTGGCAGCTGCCACCCGGGAATCGGCTAACTGACAACGGCCAGGTCCCAGGGCAATCAGAATATCCCGCGCACAGCCTCCGGTCTCAGTCTCGTGTTTTCTGCATGGTGAAAGGATCCAAGGAGATAAAGATCACACCGGCTATGAGAGGAAGGATACACCGGTTGGGCGGAAAGAGACCTCAGAGGCAAATTTAGGTATGTACCCAGTTTAAGGAGACGATGAGGCCGATTAGAGTATGACAGCTTACACTCAGCGTCTTTCTCCAATAGAAAAGAAACTTGTAGTGGATATAATACCAACTGGCGATGACCTGCAGAGAGATCGACTACTCTATGTACCCACCCAGACCGTTCTTCGCCTGTCGCCTTGCACGTGATATCGCGAGTGAGTATCTATGCCAGACAGGGAGTTGGCCGCTAGTCAGCTAAGGTTAACTGGATCACGTTAGCCGCCACGTGATCATGCGCAATGGCAACTTCCGAGCTTGAAAAAAAAAAACTCCTGTACCTACAAAGGCGGCAGGGAGCACTTCGCGACCACCTTCAATTGAATTGATCGATCCACGGCACAGCACAGCACAGCATCGCCAACATGCCGGCCGCTACCACTGTCAAGCCGAACACCTCGTTCGACACTCTGAAGCGGGAGTCCCTCTTTCGAAACCCGCCAAAAGACAAATCGGCTTTCCCGGCGCTCATCGCTGCGGTCCAGCCCCACATCGACTCGTTCAATGCCGTGACCGAGGAGGGTGGCTTTCTGGACCTGGCGAGGAAGGATATCGGCGTCAAGTGTGTGTTCGACGGCAAGGACGGCAACAGAGGAAACAAGATCTCGTGTAGGTTCGACCCCGCTGTTGGATCGCCGCGCGGGTCGCTGACTGCGCGGGAACAGTGCGCATCGACAAGGTTTACGTTGGAAAGCCGGCGATTAGCTCTCGCGATAAGACTACATTGAAAAGAGAGATCTACCCCTCCGAGGTTTGTCTGTCTGTCCGGTGCCGAGTGTGTGGGCGGGGCGCTGACGGAGGATAGGCCAGAGAGAGACATGTCACATATCGAGGGAGGCTCACGGTCCGTGTTGGATACAAAGTCAATAATGGACCCTGGGGATGGATCGATCGCGAGTGTGGAAACCTCCCGATCATGCTTCGAGTATGTCATTCGCCGCCGAGTCGCGACTCGAATGAGCGCGTTAGCTAACGGGGCGCACTAGTCCAACCGGTGCCATCTGGAGAACATGTCGCCGTACGACCTGATTGAACGCAAGGAGGAGTCGGAGGAGCTCGGTGGATACTTCGTCGTCAACGGTATCGAGAAGATCATCCGGTTGCTGATCGTCCAGCGACGGAATCACCCTATGGCGATCATCCGTCCGTCGTTCGCGAAACGAGGAAAATCCTACTCGCAGTATGGTGTGCAGATCCGAGCTGTACGGCCCGATCAGACGTCGCAGACCAACGTTCTCCACTACTTGAACGATGGAAATGTCACCTTCCGATTTTCGTGGAGGAAGAACGAGTACTTGGTGCCGGCGGTCATGATCCTCAAGGCGCTGTGCGAGACGAACGACCGGGAGATCTTCGATGGACTGTTGACGATCCCCGACCGAGAGAACACATTCCTCACGGATCGCGTGGAATTGCTGTTGAGAACCTACAAAGCGTACCAGCTCTACACACGGACGGAGACTCTACAGTACTTGGGAGAGAAGTTCAGGATTGTGATGCGGGTGTCGGCCGACATGACCGATGTTGAGGTTGGAAAGGAGTTTTTGCGCAAGATAGTTCTGGTGAACCTGGAGGACCCCAAGGACAAGTTCCGGATGCTTCTATTCATGATCCGGAAACTCTACGCTTTGGTTGAAGGGAGCTGCCAGCCCGACAACCCTGATGCGGTCCAGCACCAGGAAATCCTTCTCGGCGGCTTCTTGTATGGTATGATCATGAAGGAACGTGTTGAAGAATATCTGGACAACATCATGTCGGAGCTCCGGAGGCAAGTCACCAGGGGTATGCTCGTCGATTTCAACAACAAAGACCACCGCGTGCGGATATTGTCCAAAACCAATGAGAATATCGGCAATGCTCTGGAATACTTCTTGTCTACCGGAAACTTGGCATCTCCCAGTGGTTTGGATTTGCAGCAGGTGTCTGGATTCACTGTCGTCGCTGAAAAGATCAACTTCTACCGGTTCTTGTCGCACTTCCGGATGGTGCACAGAGGTAGTTTCTTCGCTCAGTTGAAGACTACAACGGTCCGAAAACTACTACCGGAGAGTTGGGGTAGGTCTCCTTCCTAGATAAGCTACCATCAATAGGATGTTGACTGAAGATATATAGGTTTTCTTTGCCCCGTCCACACTCCTGATGGAAGTCCTTGTGGACTGCTAAACCACTTCGCGCACAAATGCCGAATTACAACCACTATCTCCGACACGTCAGCCCTCAGGCCAGCCCTCGCCTCTCTCGGTGTCGTTTCACCCGCAGCCGTCCCCAAGCCCGCGTCCGCCACGTACTGTATCCAGCTCGACGGATGTATCGTCGGTTGGTGCTCTCCCAAGCAGGCCCGTGTGGTTGCCGAGACTCTGCGGTACTGGAAAGTTGAGGGATCACACGATATTCCCGTGGATTTGGAAATTGGCTACATTCCCGAGTCTGTTGGCGGCCAATATCCTGGTCTCTTCCTTTTCTCTCAGCAGGCGAGAATGATCCGACCAGTGAAATACCTTCCCTTGGAAAAGGAGGACTTTGTCGGACCTTTCGAACAGCCCTACATGTCCATTGCGGTCCGGGACTCTGAGGTTGTCCCTGGAGAAAGCTCGCACGTGGAGTTCGACCCTACCAATATCCTTTCCATCGTTGCCAACATGACGCCGTTTTCGGACTTCAACCAGTCCCCCAGAAACATGTACCAGTGCCAGATGAGCAAGCAGACTATGGGAACTCCTGGAACAGCCATCCGTCACCGCACTGACAACAAGTCGTACAGACTCCAGACCGGCCAGACACCCGTGGTACGCTCGCCCTTGTACAACGAATACGGGCTGGATAACTTTCCCAATGGTACCAACGCCGTCGTCGCTGTCATTTCATACACCGGTTACGACATGGACGACGCCATGATAATGAACAAGTCGGCCCACGAACGTGGTTTCGGACACGGAACCGTCTACAAGGTGGAGAAGATTGGATGGGAGTCAGCGAGCAAGTCGCGTGGTGGTACGAAGTCGGATTTCGTCTTTGGGTTCCAGAACGCCGCTGCAGTTGCAGACCTGGTGAATGAGGTCACTCATAGCCCGGCGGATTGGCCCGAGGAGGAGCGCCGCAAGGCGTTCCGCAAGATGGGGATGAAGGGAGAGTGGCTGCAGACCGTCGACGAGGACGGTATGCCTGTGGTTGGAAAGAAGGTGAAGAAGGGTGATGCTATTGCAGTCTACCACGAAATCCCCAGCGATCCTACTGCACCTGTCGAGCACAAGGCCTTCATCTACAAGGGAGATGAGGAAGCGTATGTTGAGGAAGTGCGATTGTTGCGTGAGTTCTCCGTATCTGGTCCCAAAATACCTGTCACTGATGATTTTGAACAGCCAACGAATCTGCCGACAGGCCGATGCAGCAGTTCTCCGTCAAGTACCGTATCCCACGAAGCCCCAACATCGGTGATAAGTTTTCGTCGCGTCACGGACAGAAGGGTGTCTTGTCTCAGAAGTGGCCCTCCACAGACATGCCCTTCACAGAGACGGGAATGCAGCCTGACATTATCATCAACCCCCACGCATTCCCGTCGCGAATGACGATCGGTATGTTTATCGAGTCACTCGCTGGAAAGTCCGGTGCACTCCACGGTAT